TGCTGGTGGATCTTCTGAGAGCCCTTCAAGGTTTATAAAACTCAGTTTCCAGGTGATCAACATACATTAAGTTCTCCCAATCGTAGTATTCCATGTGATGTACACCTGACATGCCAAAAATGTTGTTGAACGATTTGAACTGGATAAAAATAGCAGACGAAAATGTGTTTACAAAATAAAAATAGTTCGGTAGCCAATGAAAATACCATGTTCATTTGCATATCGGCCGTGAAAATACCGAAAACATTGCATGGGTGATATGCAAATTAGTTTGGGCCAAAATAAGTGACTGCCTAAAAGTACCATTACCGTTGTTCAAATTTCATTTCACTCGGCAAGTATATTCATGTACCCCAAGGGAAAAATATCGTACTTCTAAATATTGTTTATTTCGAAAAACTGTACTCCTGAAAGGACTACTTTGTTTGCTCTCAGACCTCATTTGCATATGGGTTGTGGAAATACCGATTTTGATTTCAGGGACGAATTAAAATAAACTGCAGTACATATGTAATATTAAAAAATGTGAAATATTTTTGCACATGAAAAATAAAAGGCAAAAACATGCATGGTTACAATTTCTTTTGTTCTGTTGGTGTATATACAATGTACTTGCTTTTTTCACATTGTGGATGGTAATAAAAAACCTTTTCGCACAATACTTTTTTTATATACAACAGCTTTTCAAAACTGAAGTAAACGATTTCTCATGGATCTATATTGTAACACTAAATCACCGCTGCTGTTGGTATCATTGATACCTGACTTTCCAGTGTCTCAAATACTGTAATATGATTCACCCCATGTATATTCTTATACATAATAAGTTTGTAACTGTCAACTTTTCTTTTTCATCAGCTGATAGCTTTGCAATGCAATGGCCAATCACTGCTGCTGACTTTCCAGTGTCTCACATACTGTAATGTAATTCACCCCATATATAGGAAATATATGAAATATATTGTAACTGTCAACTTTTCTCTTTTCCGGACAGGTGTTCCCAGTGCTCCAGGTGACCTGCGAGTAGTCACCAAAGCAGATACATCCGTCGTATTAACATGGGTACCTGGATTCAATGGTGGTCTGTTGCAATCATTTCATATCAGATTTAACGAACGAGGTGCAAAGACTTATTCCTATGTTGATGTATTCCCACCTAATGCAACTAAATTCAATGTTGTTAGTCTACGTCCGGATACTATGTATGATTTCAATATTCGCTCTTCCAATTCTCATGGCTATGGACCCTATAGCACCAGTCTGCTCACGGTCACCACAATGAGTAAGTTTTTGTCTTTTTGTTTTTGTCAGCTTCCTATTGTATTCAACAAATAGCATGCCAAACTGCGGGTCTTGAAATAGACCTTCAATTCATAATGCAAAACCTTAATATACATCTGTGACTAAATTTGTTTTTTTATAGAGGGACCCGAAACGCCAGTACGCAGACCACAAGGTATGTTGAATATTTTGATCCAATTTGAACTCATGGTTTGACACCTGTGTGTCCATCTGTCCACACTTAGACATTGCTGGACTGATCTTGTTCAAACTTATCACCCACATCTTACACCTTAGGATACATACATGTAAAAATGCACTGGTAACATCAATCTTAGTGCTAAAAAACAATCATTTCGGCCATATACCAGACCCACGTCTCTGCCATGCATGGATGTACATTGTTCAAGCTTGGTACATGTATTAAACGTAATGGGACTTTGATGTACATCATTCAGATTGCAGTCATCAAACTAATAGTAGGGGTCTCTGACACATCGAAATATACATAGAAGATCACGATGCGATTGCTAGCTCTTCAATATACTTTATTCAATCTTATACATTTCTATATACTAGTAATAAATGGCATGTGTTTATACAGTAGGAAATTCTGAACACAGTCAATGGTGTGTCTGGCGCATTTCATTTTTAGCCGAACGGCGCACCCTCGTAAAAATGGTTTGAACTAAACTTTTCGAATCGTGTAACAATCTTGAGACATTGCCAATGTTGATGTTTTGGTTTTCGGAACAATATGGCGATGACAGTAAGCAAAGTATCAGGAAATTCCTGTCCCATCAATCCATGATGTCACATTCCGGAACTCTGCCATTTACAACAACTTGATCACACACCAATGTGGGAATTGATTAATTTATATTTTATTGTAATTTATTTTTAGTGCTACGTGTTGGTGAAGTCCCGATCTATGTGATAGGTATAGTTGTCTTCGTAGTTGCTCTGTGTCTGTTACTTAATCTGTTCTTGGTTATTTGCCTGATAAAGAAAAAACGCCGGAAATTAGCACTTAAAGCCAGTAAGTTTTTCTCTTTTCATTCATAATGTTGCTGAAATAAAGATAGTACTTTTTTGTTTCTTAGTGTTTTGCAACTACTGTAAATGCCTGAAATATTCATTAGTTTTTAATGTTACCATTATCACTAATAAGTAAAGTTTGCTAAATTAAATTCACAATAAATTAAATTCACAGAAACATGTGAAATAAGAATAGAACTCGTAGTTTCTCTGCTAAGTTTAAGGACTGGAAACCCAGTGAAATTGCTCAAAGCACCAAAATCGTGAAGTTAAGTGAAAATAAGTGATTTTACAGTATGTGGTGCATGATAGCATAAATTGCATTTAGGTCTGGAAAAGTCTTGGAAATCATTTGGCTCTTGGTGCTATGGACCCTGATTTTAATAGTTCCCACTGTATATATTAACAATCATTTTACAGGAATGCATCCAGACAGATCCTCTATTTTCTCAGTAATAGACTATTTGCCATCCTTTTTACAATTCCTTATTATGCGTAGAACCACAGGACAACCAAAGGTCATAGCGCTTGGTTGACACCAAAGCGTGGGATTCAACAAATGCGATAGTTTTTTTGGCGCTATTTCCACACATAAATTTGATGATGGTCAATTTTACTGAATTAGGTTTATCTCAATGCCATACTCCTTTCTGAAAGGCATTTCAATTTTAAACTATAAAATAAGTAATTCAAGTCCAAAATCAAATCATTCAACTTTTTGCAGCAGACATTATGTCTGCCTTTTTCACGCATTTCAAGGAGATCCCGCAGTTAATGGAATATCACCTATTGTTTACAGAATGTAATTTAAAGCGAGATGGTCGTCACCGCAGGAATTGAGTCCCAAGCAACGATAAAAACATGCTAAAAACACAGAGGCTCATGTTTGTAAACAATGACGCATGTGCAGGTGACGACTCCCTCGCTTTAATCTAAAAGTCCTGGCCTAAATTCATACTCTGCCATCAATTTCTTCTTACTGTAAAATACTTTATTTCAGCTAGAATTTATTTTCGCTGAAAAGACTTTTTGGGCATTTTGTATGGAAATTATTTG